TTAGACATGGGACCAGTGTATGTGCGCCTTATAGAAGTATTGTCAGCCGTAATGGAAAACCCCAACCTTTTACTAACTAACAACATCAGATTGTTTCCAGGTCCTTGTACTCCTGTGGATGATGTACACACATATTTGCTATCAGAAAATGTATCTGAATTTTGCCGTCTGATCTTGCAAAAATTATGCCATGTATTGAAGTTGAAAGCCGCTCATTTATTTAAGGATTTTTTACCTGGAGGTTCTTTAAACTGCCCATCAGCAATATTAGTTGAGAAAAGCAAATCCTGCCCTCCACACAACATCACCGTTGAGCGACTTATGGCAAAGGTGGACAGGTCGATGAAATGTTCTCCCAATATTACTATCAATACCCTTGAAAGCAATATCTGTTATACAGGAAATAAAACACGAGAATGGCTAAAGGCAAAGCCAGAACCTGAGCAGAAACACATTATTTCGAATGCAAGACTGGGGAAAAAACATTATATAAAGACAGTCAAAGAAAGAAAGGAGGTGCTAAGGAAATCCCAGCTGCAAATTATTAGGAACAGAACAGAGACCGTACAAAAGAAAAAGGAAAAACAAAGAAAAGCAAAAGATGAGGTTGTGCAAAATTTAGACGCTTTTGGACTGTGGGACAACAAACAAAAAATTGATTTAGGACTACAAAATTACACCACAAAAAAGACAAAATTTGTGTTTTAAAAAACCAAATCACTATATAAATGTTCAGATCATTATATGACCATGACTCCAATAACAGGAACCTATTTTTATTTAGCCACAAGGGAAAACAACATGGGGTGGAGGAACTGAGAATCAATGTTTTGAAAATTGGAAATTTGAATAAAAGTGTAAAAGAAACCAATACAGTTGATTTGGACATTGTTGGAAAAAATATTCAACACATATGGACCGATGAGGAAGGAAAAGATGCAACATGGCATGGAGAAGTCCTGAGTTATGACAACGGTGTTTTCAAGGTTAAATTTTATAACATCAGTCACCGTGTCAACTCACTTCACCTTCCTTATTTCTAATTTCTAACAATTTTAATTACCACAGTGCAGATGGAAGCCATGAAAGTTATGCATTAATGTTATCACAACCAAAGAGCATGTTATCCATCATTGTAAAAACTGCATGTATCCAAAGGGTCTTCATCGGTTTCCGGGTAATAATGTGTCACATGTAATGTTAAATACAAATACAGACAAAATCCCAGTGTTTCATTCCAAATAACCTATTCAAACATTTACACATATGACCCCTGTGACGTTGAAAATCGAACAAGGACATTAACTTCATCCGTGGATATGAGTCAACGACATTCATTTTAACAAGTTTTGTAGCCCATCATCCCACCATGTTACTGGCTAAGTATCATCACCTTTGGCCTGTTGGTTATTTGGAAAAAGTTATTTAGATATTTAAACATATTTCACCAAATATCATCCGGGTCATTTTATTTATTCAGAATAAGAGTTTAAATGTTTTAAACGCAATTGACCCCTGTGACCTTGAATATGGGCGAAGGTCATTCATTTGATAAAACTTGGTACCACACCATCCCAGTATGTTAATTGCCAAATATCATCGCCCTAATCCTATTGGTTATTAAGAAGAATTTGTTTTAAATTTGTAACATATTTGACTAGTGTGACCTTGATAATGGGTGAAGGTCATCAATTTAAACAATCTTGTTTACTCTTAATCCCAGTATGCTTGTGGATAAATATCATCAGTGTAGGTGTTTTGGTTACACAAAACATGTTGTTTAAAGTAGAATGTTCATGGCGGATGACAGACGCTGCACCATGTCATAAGCTCAGCCCCTCTGGCACGTGAGCTAAAAACAACTAACAAATATCTTAACCCCCTCATTCACCATGCAGCCATTATTTTACCTTCACCTATGATTACAGATTAAATTACATACAGTTTGTTTTGGAAGATGAGTTTATAAAAATTAGTACAAAATATATATAGATTCATTATATAGTACCGAGAAAATTTTCCTCGTAGTATGCAAATATATGTACAGTTTAGTATGATTTGTTTGAACATTATTAAAACTAGATGTTTGGAATGTGTATTGAATTTCGAATTTGATAAGAACAGATGTTAATACTACATTTGTGCTTTACAGGTAAATTATTGGTCGCAAACTGACAAAGCAGATGAGGAAACCTATCTGTTAACACCAGCGGAAATACAGGCTGACATCAAAGATGGATGTTTAACATTTGAAGGTAAACAAATCACTAGCATGTATTTTATGTGTATTTGTTTAGTTAAATTTCAGTTAATATGAACGTACCGGTAGTAAGAATATTTGTTCATGGTTGCTTTAGTATTACATTTTAGTGTTGGAATTATGTTAAAATAGTGTGTGTTTTATTATTACAGACCCAGGAAGTGAAATACATTGAGTGGTAAGTCAATTTTAATTACACTGTTTGAAACAGACTATACTTACTTCTTGTGTATAATATAGTTAGATTTACCTCCCTTATTGTTCTGAATTTATTTGCAGTACATTGATTGTAGATTGGATTGTCTCCCTTGCATTTCAACAGTGTTAAAATTTGCATATGTTTTAAAGTGAAATATTTTAATTTCCTCCATTAGCAAATGAAAAACTGACCTTAGTTTCACTAAATGGCACCGAAAGCTTGCAAAAACAACAGTTGTTTTTGTTTTAAAAAAATAATCTATTTTTAGGTGAAATAGCTACAGTGCGGTAAGTCTTGGTTATGACATCAATATTGAACTGTAATCTACTATAGCTAGGTTTGAGCCAAAATTGTTTGTATCGTAGCAGAAAATCGTCATATTTATAGTTAGGATGCCGTAGCCAAAACGAAATCCCACAAGTATTTGGTAACTGGCAAAATGTTAACCCTGCACACAGGGGTTCGTTACAAATCACCAAATGCATGTCTGAAATACAGAACTGATATTGGTGCTGTCATAGCTTGACAAAGGGACAAGTCGGTCTTGGAAGGTTGCGACACGTTTAATACGTTGTGTAGAAAGTAAAACTTTGATATCAAGTATCCAATCACAAGTGTTTGAAATTCTGACTGTAAATTGAGATAAAGATCATATAAAAAATAAGAGTATTAGGCCTAGTCTACTACAAAAAAAGTAGCAATACCCTTATGTTTTGTATGATTTTTATCTCAATATTTACAGTAAGGATTTCAAATACCTGAACAGCCTGAAATTAGCATAAAAATCAAGATTTAAATTTTCTACTGTTATTAGATCGTGATGACATCAGATTCAATCAGGTAAATGCGCATAACCCTGGCCTGCCCATATGCATTTGTTGCATAAGTCATATTAAAACTTGTCTCATATAGGAGATGATAAATCTATAGCTATAGTTCATGGGAACAGTGGTTATTGAGTGATATTGGATGTCAATATTGTTGACCAATTATCAAACATATCTTTGATTTAAGTT